CCCCATTAAGGCCGTTTCTATAGGTGACCCCCCCCTTAAGACCTTTCCATAAGGAGCATCTTGTACCCAAAGAAATCCCCAGAGAACAGCCACCCCAGAGTCAGGACCCAGCACGACGCTGCCCCAAAATGCAGTTTTCTTTAAAAAAAAAAAAAAAAAAAAAAACCCTCTCTCCTTCTCCAGCAGCAGAAAATAACCATAATTTGCTCCGGAGCCTGAAAATAATGATTTCTAAACGTTTTTGCCTTGCAGGCTGACATCCAGGCGGCTCCGGAGGACACCAGGCGTGAGTGCCAGCACTGCCCCCCCACCCCCCCCGGGGGGGTGTTTTAGGGTCCGGGGGGGGTGCCAGACCCCCCCACCACAGGGGGCTGGAGCAGTGGGGGCTTCCTGGGTGGTGGGGGACCCCCCGTGCCAAGCTGGACCCACGTCACTGGGGTGGTTTGATGTTGGGGGGGTGGGTTTGGTGGCCCCAAAATTGATGGCTCCTGGCGCTGGAGTCACTGGGGTGTGTTGGGAAATACCAGGTACCCCCCCAAAAAATCAACCTCCCCCCTCTGTCTCAGGGCTCTACAAGGAATATAAGATGCTCAAGCAGCAGAGAGAGGGGGGGGATCCCTCCCCTCTCAGCCCCTCCTGCCAAGAGACAGCCCAGGAGACCCCAACCACGGAGCAGGTACCGGAGAAATGCCCCCCCCCAACCCCCCAACACCTTCACCCTGGGGTTTTTTTTCCCCAAGAGCCTCGAATCCTCGAGGGCTTTGGGGTGTTGGTGCTTTGTTACTGCAGACTGAGCTCTTTTCATCCTCCCTTTTTATAAAATGAGGTGTTTTTTTCCACCTAAGCAAGGAAAATTGTCAAATTAGCAGCATATGACGCCTGGTTTAGGTTGGTGAAATGGATAAATCACCCCAAAAAGAGCCTACAAGGGCACCGTGGGGGTGGGAAATCAAACTTCTCCTGGCTCCCTGACGTCGTTTTAACCAGCCTCTTAACGAGGAAGTGGGCAACGTGGCTCTGTCTCAGGGCTCTACAAGGAATATAAGATGCTCAAGCAGCAGAGAGAGGGGGGGGATCCCTCCCCTCTCAGCCCCTCCTGCCAAGAGACAGCCCAGGAGACCCCAACCACGGAGCAGGTACCGGAGAAATTCCCCCCCCAACCCCCCAACACCTTCACTCTGTACTTTTTTCCCCAGGATCCTCAAATCCTCAAGGGATTTGGGGTGATGGTGCTTTGTTATTGCAGACAGAGCCCTTTTCATCCTCCCTTTTTATAAAACGGGGTGGTTTTTTCCACCTAAACAAGGAAAATTGTCAAATTAGCAGCGTATGATGCCTGGTTTGGGTTGGTGAAATGGATAAATCACCCCAAAAAGAGCCTACAAGGGCACCGTGGGGGTGGGAAATCAAACTTCTCCTGGCTCCCTGCCATCGTTTTAACCAGCCTCTTAATGAGGAAGTGGGCAAGGGGTGGGAAATCAAACTTCTCCTGGCTCCCTGACGTCGTTTTAACCAGCCTCTTAACGAGGAAGTGGGCAACGTGGGTTTACCAAGGGTCAATCGTGTTTGACCAATCTGAGAGCCTTCTGTGACGTTAGAACTGGTTGGTTGGATGAGGGGAGGGCAGCAGATGTCATCTACCTTGACTTCAGCAAGGCTTTTTGACACTGTCTCCCATAACATCCTCGTTGGGAAGGAAGAACCTCATGAGGTTCAACAAGGAAAAGTGTAGGATCCTGCACCTGGGGAAGAAGAATTTTTGGCCTCGATACAGGTTGGGCATGGACCTGCTGGAGACAAGCTCTGAAGAAAAGGGTCTGGGGGTCCTGGTGGGCACCAAAATGACAATGAGCAAGCAGTGTGCTCTTGTGGCCAGGAGGGCCAACGGAATCCTGGGCTGCGTAGGGAAGAGTGTGGCCAGCAGGTCAAGGGAGAAACCTATGGATGAGATCTATCTGGACTTCTCTAAGGTCTTCAACACCATCCCACCACAAGATGATTCAAGGATTGGAGCATCTCCCTGATGAAGAAAGGCTGAGAGAGCTGGGGCTCTTGAGTCTGGAGAAGAGAAGGCTCAGGGGAGACCTTCTCAATGCTGACAAGGATCTCAAGGGTGGGTTGAAGGAGGATGGAGCCACCCTTCTCAGTGGTTCCCAGTGAGAAGACGAGGGGCAACGGGCCCAAGTTGGAACATAGGAGGTTCCACTCAAATATGAGGAAGAAGGCGTTCAAAAGACATATTGATGTGGTGCTGGGAGGTATGGTTTAGTGATGGGGATGCTTCTTGTTTGTTGTGTGGGTGTCTATTTTTGTCAGTTGGGTTGACGGTTGGACAAGATGATCTTTAAGGTCCCTTCCAACCTAGAAGATTCTGGAATTCTGTCCCACTGTCCATGTCTCCATGTTACAGGCTCCAGACTCTGGTTTTTGGGGCGCACACCTGAACCGGCAACCGAAACCCCCCCAGCCGAGCCACCATGGCCGCGCCGTGCTGAAATCCTCAGTGCAATATTATGGGATGAAGCTCAAATCCAACCTGGGAGCTGGTGGAAAGGTCAGGTCACCCCTTTTTTTTTACCCCCTCTGAGAGAGCCAGAGCCCCCCCCCAATCCTCCCCCCGTTATTAGCAGAGGGTGGGATCTGGGGGTGGGGGGCACCCAAAAACGCCAGCGAAGGTCCTCTTTGGTTTGGAGAAGGAGTATGGTGTTTGGTGGACGATCTGACCCCCATCTGTCCTTCCTCCCCCCCCATCTGTCCTCCTCCCCATCCACAGGAGACACCCCTGACCCCCAAAAGGACCCCCACTCCCAGGAGGACCTTGGCCGTCCCCAGACTGCGGACAAATTTGGGGACAAGTGACAAAGCCACGTCCCCAGAGGTGGCGGTGGAGGCATCGCAGGGCGAGGGAGAGGAGCCAGGAGATCTCCTCCTTCCTCCCTCTGTGTCGGGGCTGGCCCCCCTCATCCTCACCATGGGGTTGAAGGCCCCCCCGACGCCAAATAAATTCCAGCAGCTGAAGCAGACGGTGGCACAAAGACTGGGCTCACTGGATCCTGCCTGGCTGAGGAGATGCCAGGGGACATCTGGAGATGAAGAAGGGACAACGCTGGCCCCTGCTCAGGAGCAGAGGGAGGTCGGATGGACCCCCCCGGAGGAGGAAGAGGATGGTGGGGGACCCTCAGTGGGAGATTCCGGGAGGAAAAGGCCACGTGGTGGACACAGCGATGGGGGAGATGGTGTGGTGGTGGCTCCCCCAAAGCTCAGGAGGTGCCACCAAGGCACTGCCAACGGGCTGAAACAGAGCAAGGAGGAAGAAGAGGAGGAGGAAGAGCGCTTGGCAGCCCCAAAGGAGAGCGGGAAAGCCTCAGATCCATCAGAAAACCTCCTGGGGGAGTTTGAGGAGGAGGAGGAGGAGAAGCCCAGACCCACCCGCAAAGCTGTCCCTGCCAGGTAGCTCCTTCCCACTTCCCCATTTTCCTATCCATTTTTATCCATAACGAGCTGTTCTTTCCCCAATTCCTCCTCCTTTGGGTTGTCAGGGATTTTTTGGGGGGGAAGGAATAAGTTTTTTGGGGGGGTGTAGCCTAATTTTCTTATTTAATTATGCCCTGGGTGCCTTTCACCTCCCCGCCAAGTGTCTGCATCGCCTCGAGTTCCGTTTAAGGGATGAAATATTTAAAGATTTCCCTTAAAGCTGTTGATGGGTGACCCCATCGTCCCCCCCCAAAAAACAGGGGGGGCAGGGGGTCCCCAATCACCCTCTCTCCCCCCAGAACAGCTCCGAAGAGAAGCGGCAACTTCGTCAGGCTTAACCTGAAGAGGAAATCCCACGTCCGAGGGCAGGCTCTGCGGGGGAATCGCCTCCGCAGGCAGGTAAAGCAGCACCAAAAAGCCCCCCTTCCTCCCCACCCAACCCATTTCCAGCCAAATTGAAATGAAAACCAGTCCAGGATGAATTTCAGACCCTTCATCTTCGTGCTGTTCTTCAAATTTCCGTAATTTATTGTGTTATTTAATTTATCCTCATTTTTGAGTCGTCCCCAGCTCTGTCGCGGGGGCACAGCTCAGCTCCACGTCCTTCCTGCTGCCACCTGGCTTTTCCCAGGCCTTTTCACCTTCAGCACTGCCACCAAAAAAAAGGATTTTTTAAATATTTCCCCTTTAATTAACATGAAATCCTTCAGGATTGTCTCTGGGGGAGGCGGGAATCGGGCTGGAAGAAAATGGCCTTTCTTTTCAAAGCGTGGTATGTTTGTGCGGCGCTTTGGCAGAGTGAAACTGAGTCAAATGTGATAAAATAGACTTTTATTTTTAAAAAAAACTCTGGGAATAACTGGAGATGGTCCTGACTTCGCAGGTGTGGAAGCAGAAGTGGCAGAAGAAAGCAGAATCCTTCGGAGGAGGTGGTGGATCCATGGAGAGAAGCTCAGACGTTTGCTTTCGGTGCGGCGGGACAGGCCACTGGGCATCCACGTGTCAGGGCCGAGGTAAAGCTCCCAACGTTGGCTTTTTGGGGTTGTTTTAGCTAAAATGTGGGCTGGAAGAGAAAGGGGAGCATCCCCTGGGGCTTCCCCACCTCCTTTGCAGCTTCTCTCCGCTGTTGGTTGAAGGTTTTTTGGGGAAGAGGGTGGAAAGGTGGAGTGGTTTATTCGGTGTGGGTTTAGGTAAAGAAAGGACTTTCTTCTCACCTGCAGAGCCAGCTGCTGGCTCGCTGCTGGAAGAAGGTGGCCATGGTGATGATGAAGAAGAGGAAGAGGAGGCTCCCCTTCCCACACTGGAAGAGGTGGCTCGCAGGACCAACAGCGTTTGCTCGGAGCTCCTCGGTGAGTCCCCCCCATCCCATCTGCCAGCTCCCCTCGCTCTCCACTGGTGGCTGGAGCCAGGATGATCTCCCAAAGAGATGGAATTCTCTCCCTTTTTTTCCCTCCCTCCCACTCTGGGAAGTTTGTTTCTGCTCCCGGGAGGGTTTTCCTGGGATGGAAAGATGCTCTGGGCAGCCTGGGGATGTGTCTCCTCTGGGAATCCCCACCTAAAATCCAAGCGGGCTCATCGTAACCAGCTTCCTGGGGGGTGGAAAAGCTTCCTGGGGGGTGGAAAAGCTTCCTGAGGGTCTCAGCTCCCACTTTTATCCCCGGCAGAGAGTGGAGGAAGCCAAGGGGAAGGATCCCAGAAGATTTTGGAGGTGGTGACTTCCCTGGATGTGCGGAGACCGGCGTACGAGCCGCCCCCCACCCCTGCGCCCATGGAGCCCCTCTACGCCCCGGGGCCGGAGGGGAAGGTGCAAGGTAGGGCTCCCCATGGTGCTCTGAAGGGGGACAGGGGGGGTTGTCCCCTCTGTCCCCCCCTCAACTGAGTGTCCTCCCCCCTGCAGACACCCCGCAGGAGGTTTTTAAGGCTCTTCAGGCTTTGGGCTACAGCTCCTTCCGCCCGGGCCAGGAGGTGGCCGTCATGAGGATCCTCTCAGGTGGGTTGGTTTCTCCCACTTTCTCCATAGGGTTGGGGCTCCCCATGATCCCCACCCACTCGAGGTGACCCAGTTGTCCCCAAACAAAGTCCCCAACCCTTCCTTCCCTCCAGGCCTCTCCACCCTGGTGGTCTTATCGACAGGGATGGGGAAGTCCCTCTGCTACCAGCTCCCTGCTTACCTCTACCACAAGCGCTCCAAGTGCATCACCTTGGTCATCTCCCCATTGGTGTCCTTGATGGATGACCAGGTACTGCTCGCTCCCGTGTCCCTGTTGTCCCTCCCCAACCCCTTCCTTGGACTCTGCTGCTCAATGGGGAGGTGGGTGTCCAAAGGGGGTTCACCAGAGGCCAATGGGTGGGGTGATGGGCTTCCTTTCCAGGTCTCGGGGCTACCACCGTGCCTGAAGGCCTTCTGCATCCACTCCAACATGACCAAAAGCCAATGTTTGGGGTGATGGGCTTCCTTTCCAGGTCTCAGGGCTACCACCATGCCTGAAGGCCGTCTGCATCCACTCCAACATGACCAAAAGCCAACGGGAAGCGGTGATGGAGAAGGTGAGGAACCAGATGGAGGGTCCAAACTCTCCGGTGAAAATCAACGGGGGGGTCCCAATGCAGCCACGTGATCCCAGTAAGGCCAGTGCCACCTCCCAGTCAATCCATTCCCTTGGGACAGCGGATAAATCGCTGGTCTCGGGGCTACCACCGTGCCTGAAGGCCGTCTGCATCCACTCCAATATGACCAAAAGCCAACGGGAAGCAGTGATGGAGAAGGTGAGGAACCAAAGGGAGGGTCCAAACTCTCTGGTGAAAATCAACAGGGGGGTCCCAGTGCAGCCACGCGATCCCAGCAAGGCCAGTGCCACCTCCCAGTCAACCCATTCCCTTGGGACAGCGGATAAAGCGCCCCTTTTTTGCCGTTTTTCTCCCCGATGCGGCGCAGGTTCGGCAGGGGGAGGTGCAGGTGCTTCTCTTGTCCCCCGAGGCCTTGGTTGGTGGAAGTGGATCAGGATTTGGCTACTTGCCCTCCGCCGATCGCTTGCCCCCCGTGGCCTTCGCCTGCATCGACGAAGCTCACTGCCTCTCCGAGTGGTCCCACAATTTCCGACCCTGCTACCTGCGGCTCTGCAAGGTACGAGGAGGAGGAGGGTGGTGGGAAGAAAACAGTAGACAAGGGGCAACCTCTGGATATGATCCGGGCTACCACCGTGCCTGAAGGCCTTCTGCATCCACTCCAACATGACCAAAAGCCAATGTTTGGGGTGATGGGCTTCCTTTCCAGGTCTCAGGGCTACCACCATGCCTGAAGGCCGTCTGCATCCACTCCAACATGACCAAAAGCCAACGGGAAGCGGTGATGGAGAAGGTGAGGAACCAGATGGAGGGTCCAAACTCTCCGGTGAAAATCAACGGGGGGGTCCCAATGCAGCCACGTGATCCCAGTAAGGCCAGTGCCACCTCCCAGTCAATCCATTCCCTTGGGACAGCGGATAAATCGCTCCTTTTTTGCCGTTTTTCTCCCCGATGCGGCGCAGGTTCGGCAGGGGGAGGTGCAGGTGCTTCTCTTGTCCCCCGAGGCCTTGGTTGGTGGAAGTGGATCAGGATTTGGCTACTTGCCCTCCGCCGATCGCTTGCCCCCCGTGGCCTTCGCCTGCATCGACGAAGCTCACTGCCTCTCCGAGTGGTCCCACAATTTCCGACCCTGCTACCTGCGGCTCTGCAAGGTACGAGGAGGAGGAGGGTGGTGGGAAGAAAACAGTAGACAAGGGGCAACCTCTGGATATGATCCATCTGGATTTCTGTAAGGCCTTGGACACGGTCCCCCACAACATCCTGATTGCCAAATTGGAGGGGTACGGATTTGATGGGTGGACTGTTCAGTGGAGAAGGAACTGGCTGGATGGTGGCATCCAGAGGGTGGTACTCAATGGCTCAAAGTCCAGATGGAGACCAGTCACAAGTGGTGTTCCTCAAGGGTCCGTACTGGGGCCGGTGCTGTTTAACATTTTTATCAATGACATAGACAGGGAGATTAAAGGCACCATCAGCAAGTTTGGGGACGACACCAAGCTGTGTGGTGTTGTGGATACACCAGAGGGACGGGATGTCATCCAAAAGGACCTGGCCAGGCTGGAGAGGTGGGCCCAGGTGAACCTCATGAGGTTCAACAAGAGCAAATGCAAGGTTCTGCACCTGGGCTGGAACAATCCTCACCACCAATACAAACTGGGGGGTGAGGGATTGGAAAGCAGCCCTGAGGAAAGGGACTTGGGGGTGCTGGTGGAGGAGAAGCTGGACATGAGCAGGCAGTGGGCAGCTGCAGCCCAGAAGGTCAATCCCATCCTGGGCTGCATCAAAAGCTGCGTTGCCAGCAGGTCCAGAGAGGGGATTCTGCCACTTTACTCTGCTCTGGTGAGACCTCACCTGGAGTATTGTGTGCAGGTCTGGAGCCCTCAATATAAGAAGGACATGGACCTGATGGAGAGGGTCCAGAGGAGGGCCACAAGGATGATCAGGGGGATGGAGCACCTCTGCTACGAGGACAGGCTGAGGGAGCTGGGGTTGTTCAGCCTGGAGAAGAGGAGGCTCCGGGGAGACCTAATAGCAGCCTTCCAGTACCTGAAGGGGGCCTACAGGAAGGCTGGGGAGAGCCTGTTTAGAAAGGCCTGCAGTGACAGGACGAGGGGCAATGGCTTCAAGCTGGAGGGGAACAGATTTAGACTGGAGATGAGGAGAGGGTTCTTCACTGTGAGGGTGGTGGAGCACTGGAACAGGTTGCCCAGGGAGGTGGTTGAGGCCCCATCCCTGGAGATATTCAAGGAGAGGTCTGGTGAGGCCTGATGAGGCCCGACGAGGCCCTGGGCCACCTGGTCTAGTTGGGGGTGTCCCTGCTGACTGCGGGGGGGTCGGACTAGATGGCCTTTGGGGGTCCCTTCCGGCCTGGGCAATTCTATGATAAAACCCCATCCCGAGGGAACCCAGCGAGGAGGGAGGTCAGAATTCCCTCTTTTTTTTGACCCCCCCTGGCTTCTTCTCGGCAGGTTCTCCGGGATCGTCTGGGCGTGAGGTGCTTCCTGGGGCTGACAGCCACGGCCACCATGGCCACGGCCCGGGACGTGGCCCATCACCTGGGCATCCCGGCGGAGGAAGGGATAGCTGTGCGCTCCGCCGCCGTCCCCCCAAACCTCCGCCTCTCCGTCTCCATGGACAGGGACAGGGATCAGGTGAGGACCGGGATGAGCCCCGGATAAATCGGATTTAACGCCCCGGCGATGGATTCGGGGTGGATCTTGGAGGGAAGACTCTTCCCCCTCTTTTGGGGTGGATCTTGGAGGGAAGACTTCCCTTCTTTTGGGGTGGATCTTGGAGGGAGGACTCCCCCTATTTGGGATGGATCTTGGAGGAAAGAATCCCCCCCTTCTTTTGGGAAGGAAGACCCCCCTCTTTTGGGGTGGGTCTTGGAGGGAAGACCCCCCTTTTTTGGGGTGGGTCTTGGAGGGAATACCCCCCTCTTTTGGGGTGGATCTTGGAGGGAAGCCCTTTTTTGGGGGAGGACTTTCACCCCCTTTCTCTGCCCCCAGGCCCTCGTCTCCCTCCTGCAAGGGGAACGTTTTGGCTGCTTGGATTCCATCATCATCTACTGCACGAGGAGGGAGGAGACGACGCGGATCGCGGCCCTCATCCGGACCTGTCTCCAAGGAATTCTGCTCAAGGAACCTTCCAGAACCGAAGAGCCAGGGCAGGATGGTGCCCAAAAGAAGAAAACGAAGGGTAAGGGGCACGACTTCCTTCTCAAAAAAACCCACGAGCCTAAAAATGTCCCAAATCCACACTGGGAATGGAGAATCCCTAAGGAATGAGCCATGTTTTGTGGGATTCTCCATAGAGGTGTCTCCATCAGCCACAGGTTTATCTCCTCCTGCCGGCATCGCAGGCTTTAAAACTCCTTTGATTTTTCTAGGGACGCCCAATAACGACAGATTGCTTATTAATTATCATTAACAAGGCTTGACGTTGGGTTTAGTGTGTGGGGAACCTTCATTTTCCATCTTTCCAGTTTTTTTTCTTCCCAAACCTGGTGATTTGGGGTCTTTATTCTCCTTCCAAACCCACCACGTGGATCCACGGCCGAGCTGGAAGCATTTGGCCCCAGGGATCCTCTTTCCCCCCACACACACCTTCCCCCCTCCCAGTTTGTTTGCCCAAACTGGGCCAGTTCCTGCCATCCCGTTCCCAAACCAGCCGGGGCTTAACGACTTTTGGCAGCTAACGAGGAGCACACACCCCTTCACCGGGGAGAAACGGCCCCTCTCCTGCCCTCAGCGTGCCCTAATTTCTCTAATTTCTCCCCAGGCGGGGTTTGCCACTCATTTCCATCCCTCATTTCATTAGCAGCCACGCTTTTGATGATGAAAATCACTAATTAAGCACCGTCAAGCCTCTCTCCCTCCTATTTTTTGGGTTTTTTTTGGTTTTTTCTCCTATTTTTTGGGTTTTTTTGTTTTTTTCTCCTATTTTTTGGTTTGTTTTTTTTTCCCCCAGCAAAGAGTGGCCGCCGGCCGCTGAAGTGGATCGCCGACGCTTACCACGCCGGCCTCTCGGCCGCCGAACGCCGCCGGGTCCAGAAGGCTTTCATGAGTGGCCAACTCCGCCTGGTGGTGGCCACCGTGGCTTTTGGCATGGGCTTGGACAAGCCCGACGTCCGGGGCGTCGTTCATTACAACATGCCCAAAAATTTCGAGAGTTACGTGCAAGAAATCGGCCGGGCCGGGCGAGACGGTGAACCTGCTCATTGCCATCTCTTCCTAGACCCGGAGGTAACCCTTCCCACCTAAATTTTGGGTTGGGGAGGGGGGGTTTCTCCTAAATTTTTGGGGGGATTTTCCTCACCGTTCACCTCGTCTTCCCCCAGGGTGGGGATCTCCACGAGCTGCGGCGTCACATTTACGGCGACACGGTGGATTTTTTCACCATCAAGAAGCTGGTGCAGAAGGTTTTTTCTCCTTGCAAGTGCCTGGAGCTTCACCAGAAAAGCCAGGACGTCGTCAAGGTGAGGAAGAGATCGAGGACCCCTCTCTGGTGGCTTTCCCAGCTTCTTAACTCGTTAATTAACGAGCTAATGTGGTAGGAAAGGCTTTGATTGTTGGGTGGCCACCTCGGGGAGGTTCAATGGGTTGAGGGAAGTCTGGGGAGCAACGGAGCTGGGGGTGAGGTGAGCCGTGGTGTAGGATCTGACCAGGAACGGGGTTGGGATGTCCCCAAGAAGGACCTCTAAGCGATGACGTGTCCCTCACCAGGGCTCTGAGGTGGTGGATGCCCAGATGGCCGAGCTCTTGGAGAAAGAGGAGAAGGAGGAGGAGAAAGAGGAGGAGGAGGATGGTGGGGAAGCAGAGCGGGTGTGCTACAAGCACGAGCGAGCCATCCCCGTCCAACAAACGGTGGAGTCCTTGGATGTACGGGAGGAAGGTGAGGAAGAACAGGGGGAGGAGCAGCCCCAGCGAGGCCGAAGGAGGTGATGAAGGAGATGGGGATCGTTCCCCGCTCCAGGATCCTCCCATCTCTCCTCTCCCCCAGGGATTGAGACCCTCCTGTGCTACCTGGAGCTGCACCCACGACGTTGGTTGGAGCTCCTGCCCCACACCTACTCCTCCTGCCGCCTGATGTGCTACGGGGGACCCCGGCAGCTCCGGGCTGTGGCACGGAGGTTAGAAACCACACCATGGGGACACCAGTGTCACCACCACGGCATCCCCTGTGCCAGAGGACACCACCCTGTGGTGTGATCTCCGCTGGGTGGGAGCCCCAGGGTGGTTGGAGGGTCAAAATGAAGCTCCAAGCCACGGTGGCAATGGGTTTCTGGTGTCTCCTGCCCTCAGTTGTCCCCCTGTCGCCGTGTTCCTGGCCCGGGAGCGTCTGGCAGGGAGGGATCATGGTGACACCAGCTCCTTGGAGTTTGACGTGGTCTCCTTGAGCGATTCCATGGGGTGGGAAGTGCCGCTGGTGAAACGTGCCCTGCGCCAGCTCCAGTGGGATCCAAAGCTGCGTCAAGGTACCGGGTTCCTTGGGGTGGAGAAGTTCTTCCTATGCACCAGCAGCTGGCCACGTCTTGGTGGACGCCAGGTCTTGGTGGGCCCCAATGTCTTGGTGGACGCCAGGTCTTGGTGGGCCCCAATGTCTTGGTGGACGCCAGGTTTTGGTGGGCCCCAACGTCTTGGTGGACGCCAGGTCTTGGTGGACACCATCTCAACCAGCTCTTGGTGCCTTCAGGTGGCCACAAGGAAGGGAAGAGCGGGGTCCTGGTGGAGTTTGCAGACTTGTCCTTCCACCTGCGGGCCTACGGTGACCTCAGTGACCAGGAGCTGGACACCGTCTGCGACTTCCTCTACCAAAGGGTGGTGGCCCGGGAGAAGACAGCTCTTGGCCAACTCCGTGCCTGCTTCCGGGCCTTCCAGAGGTGAGAAAGCCACCCAACCCTTGTGTGGTGGCCCCTAGGGTTGCCCACCCTCCCATCCCTCCCAGTTTTGGGTACTGGGATGGGAGGAGGTTGACTCTGGGGGGGTGCAGCGTGGCCTTCCAGACCTGCCACCCTCACCCTGAGGACGAGGAAGAGGAGAGGAGCTCCCGCCTGAAGGCTCTGCTCAAGGACTACTTCGAGAAGGAGTCCCCTGAGCGTGGCTGCGAGGAGGAAGAGGAGCAGGAGGAAGATCTCAACGCCGTTAAAGTGAGCAAACCCACTTTTATGGGGAGCTCCTTCGGGCTCTGACCCTCAGCCGGTGTTTCTGGTCCACGGCAGCTCCGGTTTGGACCAGGGATGGGTTTGAGGATGAGGAAGAGGAAGGGACACGACCTTCCTCACCACCTCCTTTCCCTTTGGCAGGAGTGGGAGAGCCAGATCCGCGCCGACGTCCGCCATTTCCTCGCCATCCGCCAGGACGAGAAGTTCTCCGGCAGAGCCGTGGCCAGGATCTTCCACGGCATTGGTGAGAAGAAAGGTGGCTTCTCTGTCACCTTCCTGTCACCATCTTTGTCCCCTTCTTCCTGACCAGGTGGCATCTCTGCCCTCTCCCCCCCCCGCAGGCAGCCCCTGTTTCCCTGCCCAGATTTACGGCCGCGACCGCCGCTTCTGGAGGAAATATCTCCACTTGGACTTCCACCGCCTCGCCCGCTTGGCCACCCAGGAGATCCTGGCCAGCAGGTGAGGGACACTCAACGGTGCCACACGGGACGTCACCATGGGACCTCACCACCCCTGGGGTCACTCCACCTTCCTGCGCTGCTTTTCCCTGGTGTTTTTTTTTAATCTGGATTTTATTATGGAATTAATAAAGGGAAATGACCTTTTTTTTTTAATTCTACCTGCGCCTGAGGGGTGAATGGTGGGGGGATGTCCATCTCCGTGGGCGAATTAATAAAGGGAAATGACCTTTTTTTTTAATTCTACCTGCGCCTGTCGGGGGGGAATGGTGGGGGGATGTCCACCACCGTGGGTTGTCACCAGGAGGGTGACAGGGGACATCACCATGCCTGGTGAGCTGTGACCAACCCCGGGACGGGCGGGCGCCGCCGCGGTTCGCGCCGCCCCAGCGAGCACAGGGTGACATCGAGGAGCTGGAGCCACCCCTCCCAGTCCCCTTTTCCACCCAAAACTGGGTGCTCCACCCCCAGCACCCACCTCTTGAGGACACCCAAGTGAAGGTAAAGCCTTCCTCCCCTCCTTCCCCTCCCAAAAAAAGACCACCCGGTTTGGGTTTTGCCACTGCTTTTGGAGAATTGGAGAATTGGAAACTGGTTTCCAACTGGGAGAGAACTTCACGCCCCAGTTTCCTCCTGGCGCTGGTGCTTCCTCCCACCTCCCCGCTGCCAAAACTCCTTTTAATCATTAACTGGTGGCACTGGGTGCCCGTCCCCGAGGGACGCCGGTGCCACGCAGCCTCCTTCATCCCTCCTCCTCCTCCTTCTCCTCCATCCCTGGAGGAAACCCAAGGGCTGGCCACAGCGCCAAAGGTTTTCCTCCTCATCCTCTTCCCTTTAGGTTTTCCTGTTGAGGAGGTGGTGAGGGACCGCTGGTGGCCGGAGGGGACAGTGGGGACGTGCCAGTGTGTGTCCTGGTAAGCACTGGTGGTGAGACTGGGGGGAGCTGGTGGGCTTAGGACACTCTCCAGAGAGTGGGTTGGGACTGGGACTCCCCGTGGTGGGTCCCTTCTCCCCATGGTTGGATCCTTCTCCCCGTGGTTGGTCCCCTCTCCCCATGGTTGGTCCCCTCTCCCCATGGTGGAACCCTTCTCCCCGTGGGTGGTCCCCTCTCCCCGTGGTTGGACCCCTCTCCCCGTGGTGGGAACCTTCTCCCCATGGTTGGATCATCTCCCCGTGGTGGGTCCCTTCTCCCCGTGGTGGGTCCCTTCTCCCCGTGGTTGATCCCTTCTCCCCATGGTTGGACCCCTCTCCCTGTGATGGGTCCCCTCTCCCCGTGGTTGGGCCCTTCTCCCCGTGGTGGGACCCTTCTCCCCGTGGTGGGACCCTTCTCCCCGTGGTGGGGACCTTCTCCCCATGGTTGGATCCTTCTCCCCATGGTGGGACCCTTTTCCCCGTGGTTGGATCCTTCTCCCTATGGTTGGTCCCTTCTCCCCGTGGTGGGACCCTTCTCCCCGTGGTGGGGACCTTCTCCCCATGGTTGGATCCTTCTCCCCATGGTGGGACCCTTTTCCCCGTGGTTGGATCCTTCTCCCTATGGTTGGTCCCCTCTCCCCGTGGTGGGACCCTTCTCCCCGTGGTTGGTCCCTTCTCCCCATGGTGGGACCCCTCTCCCCGTGGTTGGGGCCCTTCTCCCCGTGGTTGATCCCTTCTCCCCATGGTTGGACCCCTCTCCCCGTGATGGGTCCCCTCTCCCCGTGGTTGGGACCTTCTCCCCGTGGTTGGGCCCCTTCTCCCCGTGGTTGGGCCCCTCTCCCCGTGGTGGGACCCTTCTCCCCATGGTGGGACCCTTCTCCCCAGGGATCAGGGTGGTCCCCACCCGCTGTTGTCCCCACACCATGGCCCTGCCCTGGGCTCTGCTGCTTCTCAGCGAGGTCCTGGTGCAGGATGCCACCACCCAGAGCTGCCTCATCCCACCAGCTGGTGAGTCCCAACCTTTCCTTGCCCATGGCACCACCCACCAGGCCGTTCCTGGTGGGATGAAGCCTCGCCGGGAGGCCACGGTGATGGGTTTCCATATCTTTGGTAGCTTATAACGCGGCGTTGGGGCGCCCGGCCAGCCAGTCCTCCCTCTTCCCCAACATCAGCATCGCTGCCAACGCGGTGGACGGCAACCGGGACGGCGTTTGGCACCACGGCTCCTGTTCCCGCACCCTGAGGGAGAGGGAACCCTGGTGGAACGTGGACCTGGGCGGTCACCGCGCCGTGGCCGCCGTGGTGGTGAAGAACCGGCAGGATTGTTGCTGGGAACGGCTACGGGGAGCCCAGGTCCACGTCGGGGACGCGCCGGCCGAGCGCGGGAGGGACAACCCCATGTGAGCCCAAAAGGTGGTGGGATCTTGAAGGGGTTGTCACCATCCCACGGTGTCCTGAAGCCCGTTCCTTCCTCCCCATCAGCTGCGGCGTCATCACGGACGCCGGTCCTGGGTCCCTCAGCACCATCTGCTGCCACGGGCTTCAAGGACGCTACGTCTCCATCCTCATCCCCGGGCGGGAGGACACCTTGGTGCTGTGTGAGGTGGAGGTGGTACTTCAGGGCTGCGTCCCGCTGCCTGGAGGTGAGTGTGGAGGTCACCATGGGGTGGGAGGAGAAGAAGGTGGCGAGGTGGCAACCATACTCTCTCTACCACCATTCTCAGCCCCCAACGTGGCCCGGGGACGCGCCGTCGTCCAGTCGTCCACCCGCAACGCCATGGGCCTGGTGGCCAACGCCGTGGACGGCACCGCCGACTCCTGCGCCCACACCGAGAAGGAGCTGGAGCCCTGGTGGCGCGTGGACCTGGGCCACCGGCACGTGGTCTACGCCGTGGCCATCACCAACCGCCGCGACTGCTGCTGGGAGAACCTCCTCGGAGCCCAGGTCCACGTCGGGGACTCTTTGGCCGACCGTGGCAAGCGTAACCCCGTGTGAGTGGGGTCCCCGTGGGAGTGGACGTCCCCAACCCCTTTTGAGGGACTTTCCTAGACCTTGATGGTTCCCTCCTGGCAGCTGTGGGGCCATCTTGGACACCGGCCCCGGTGCCACCACCATCCTCTGCTGCAACGGGCTGCCCGGTCGCTACGTCTCCGTCATCGTCCCCGGCCGGGAGGAATTCCTCGTCCTCTGTGAGGTGGAGGTGACAGTGCAGAGCTGTGTCCCACCACCTGGAGGTAAGGACACCAAAAGAACCACCCTCGGGCAAGGAGCTGGCACGTGCCAGGTGGCCACCAAGAAGTGGTGACCTCCCCGAGGCCCATAGGGGTGATTTGGTCCCTGCAGAGCTGGGGGAAACGGGACATGGGGGACAGGGGTGTCACACGGGCCCCCAAGCTGGTGGGACACGGTGTGGGGATGGAGGGATGGAGAGGGGACAGTCCCCAGTACCAGCTCTGTGTCTGGTGGCCACCAACAAGTGGTGGCCTCCCCAGGCCCCATAAGGGAGGGAAACAGGGGATATGGGGGACAGGGGTGTCACATGTGTCCCCGGGGACAGGGGTGTCACATGTGTCCCCAAGCTGGTGGGACATGGTGTGGGGGACCTGAGGGATGGAGGGGGGACAGTCCCCAGTGCCACCTCTGTGTCTGGTGGCCACCAAGTGGTGGCCTCCCCAAGCCCCATAGGGGTGATTTGGTCCCTGTAGAGCTGAGGGAAATGGGACACGGGGGACAGGGGTGTCACACGTGTCCCCATGCTGGTGGGACACGGTGTGGGGGACTTGAGGGATGGAGGGGGGACAGTCCCCAGTGCCAGCTCTGTGTCTGGTGGCCACCAACAAGTGGTGGCCTCCCCAAGCCCCATAGGGGAGGGAAATGGGGGATATGGGGGACAGGGGTGTCACACGTGTCCCCAAGCTGGTGGGACACGGTGTGGGGAACTTGAGGGATGGAGAGGGGACAGTCCCCAGTGCCAGCTCTGTGTCTGGTGGCCACCAACAAGTTGTGGCCTCCACAAGCCCCATAGGGGTGATTTGGTCTCTGTAGAGCTGAGGGAAATGGGACATGGGGGACAGGGGTGTCACATGTGTCCCCAAGCTGGTGGGACACGGTGTGGGGGACTTGAGGGATGGAGAGGGGACAGTCCCCAGTGCCAGCTCTGTGTCTGGTGGCCACCAACAAGTGGTGGCCTCCCCAAGCCCCATAGGGGAGGGAAATGGGGGATATGGGGGACAGGGGTGTCACACGTGTCCCTAAGCTGGTGGGACACGGTGTGGGGAACTTGAGGGATGGAGAGGGGACAGTCCCCAGTGCCAGCTTTGTGTCTGATGGCCACCAACAAGTGGTCACCTCCCCAAGCCCCATAGGGGTGATTTGGTCCCTGCAGAGCTGAGGGAAACAGGGGACATGGGGGACAGGGGTGTCACACGTGTCCCTGAGGTGGTGGCACGTCGGTGTGCCAGGATGTGGCATGGGGGTGCTGGAGGGATGGGGGGAGGACAGTCCCCAGTGCCATCTCCGTGTCTGTGGGGTGATGCCCATCCCTGGATCATCACCCAGAGCCGGTGTCACCATCGCCGGGTCATCACCCAGAGGTGGTGCCACCATCCCCTGGTGTCCCCCAGCCCAAAACCTGGCCCTGCGACGCCCGGTGGCCCAGTCCTCCACCGCCGGCCAAGCTGGTAGCGCCATCAACGCCGTGGATGGCAACTGGCACCACGGCTCCTGCTCCCAAACCACGAGGGAACCGGAGCCGTGGTGGATGGTGGACCTGGGCCGGCGTCACGTGGTGGCGGCCGTGGTGGTGAGGAACCGCTTGGACTGTTGCTGGCACCGCTTGAAGGGCGCCCGCGTCCACCTCGGGGACTCCCTCGCTGGCCACGGCACCAACAACCCCCTGTGAGTGCCACCACCCTGGCCACCATGGTCCACCACCATGGTCCACCACCATGGTCCACCACGGCTGCTTTGGTGCTTGCTTATCCTCCTCCTCCTCCTCCTTCTCCTTCTCTTCCTTTTCCTCCTCCTCCTCCTCCTCCTCCTCCTCCTCCTCCTCCGGCAGATGTGGCACCATCACAGACACCGGTCCTGGTTCCACCAGCACCATCTGCTGCCGTGGGTTGCGTGGCCGCTACGTCACCATCACCGTCCCCGGCCGGGAGGAACGGCTGAGCCTGTGTGAGGTGGAGGTGGTGGAGCAGGGCTGTGCCGCGCTGCCCGGCGGTGCGTGGGATGAGGGGATGGACACAAACACACCAGAAGGTGGTTTTGGGGACACATCACCCCCAACACGCTTGTCCCCGCAGCCCAGAACGTGGCCTTGGGCCGCCCGGCCACCCAGTCCTCCGTCTTGGATGCCACCAGTGGTGCCACCAACGCCGTGGATGGCAACCGGGATGGCAACTGGGAGCACGGTTCCTGTGCCCACACCCTGGAGGAGCCGGAGCCGTGGTGGCGCGTGGATCTCGGCCGCCGGCACGTGGTCTACGCCGTGGTGGTGAAGAACCGCCGGGACTGCTGCTGGGAGAGCCTGAAGGGTGCCCAGGTCCACATCGGAGACTCCTTGGTCGACCGTGGTCGCCGCAACCCCGTGTGAGCTCAACACCTGCTACCACCACCATGGGTGGAGACCTCCTCGTCATCCTTCTCCTCCTCGTCATCCTTCTCCTCCTTGTCGTCATCATCCTCCTTGTCATCCTTCTCTTCCTCCTCATTGTCCTCCTCCTTCTCTTCCTCCTCGTCGTCCTCCTCCTCCTTCTCTTCCTCATCGTCGTCCTCCTCCTCCTTCTCTTCCTCCTCGTCTTCCTTGTCGTTCTTCTCCTTCTTCTTCTGGTTGTCCTCCTCCTTCTCTTCCTCCTCGTTGTCCTCCTCCTCCTTCTCCTTGTCGTCATTCTTCTCCTTCTTCTTCTGGTTGTCCTCCTCCTTCTCTTCCTCCTCGTTGTCCTCCTCCTCCTTCTCCTTGTCGTCGTTCTTCTCCTTCTTCTCCTCCTTGTCATCGTCTTTCTCCTCCTCCTCGTCATCCTCCTCCTCCTCCTCCTCATCGTCTTCGTCCTTCTCCTTCTCCTCGTCATCCTTCTCCTCCTCCTCCTCCTCATCGTCTTCGTCCTTCTCCTCCTCGACCTTCTCCTTCTCATCCTTCTTCTTCCTCCCAGCAGCTGTGGCATCATCACGGACGCCGGCCCCGGTTCCCTCAGCACCATCTGCTGCCACGGCCTTCGTGGTCGCTACGTCTCCATCCTCATCCCCGACCGGGAGGACACCTTGGTGCTGTGTGAAGTGGAGGTGATCCGCCAAGGCTGCGCCCCGCTACCTGGAGGTGAGCCACCATGGGGATCTCCCCACTCCCATCATCTCCACGGCCACCCTGTCCCTCCACCCAAGTTGTCACCTGGTGGTGTCCACAGCCCCCAACGTGGCACGGGAGCAACGGGCAACGCAATCCTCCACCTCCAACGGTTCCGGGGTGGCCTCCAAAGCGGTGGACGGCAACCGGGACGGCGTTTTCCACCACGGCTCCTGCAGCCACACGCGGAGGGAGAGGGAACCCTGGTGGAACGTGGACCTGGGCGGTCACCGCGCCGTGGCCGCCGTGGTGGTGAAGAACCGGCAGGATTGTTGCTGGGAACGGCTACGGGGAGCCCAGGTCCACGTCGGGGACGCGCCGGCCGAGCGCGGGAGGGACAACCCCATGTGAGCCCAAAAGGTGGTGGGATCTTGGAGGGGTTGTCACCATCCCACGGTGTCCTGAACCCCGTTCCTTCCTCCCCATCAGCTGTGGTGTCATCACGGACGCCGGTCCTGGGTCCCTCAGCACCATCTGCTGCCACGGGCTTCAAGGACGCTACGTCACCGTCACCATCCCCGGGCGGGAGGAGCAGTTGGCTCTCTGCGAGGTGGAGGTCTACGGTGTTGTCCCCGAGCTCTGAGGGGACAGCACTGGTCCCCTGGGCCACCCCTCCTTGTCCCCATCCCCTCCCTGCCAGCCTTGGCCCATGGGATGGTGGCCCTTCTCCATGTCCACCTCCTGGGGTGGAGGGTGGCACAGGAGACTGTTTCCAACCCCTGGTGGAGCCAAGAAGGACATGGGTGGTCCCATGGATGTCCTCATGAGCGTCCTCATTGGTGTCCCCAATGCCTGGGGTCTTCAGGGGCCAAGATCCCCAACCCCATGGCACATTTTATGGGGCCACCTCAAGTTGGGGTGGGCTCATTGCTCCCAGGACCAGGCAGAAGTGTCCCCCCTGGGACAAGGGGAGGGGAGGAATGTCCTAAAGCCACCCTTGTGTCACCAGGGCTCAGCTATGGGGTGTCAGCCAGGATCTGGCCCCACCGTGGGGTCTTCTCCAAGCTGGATGGGGTGGCCTGGGGCTCCCCGGCGTCGTGGTCGCGCCAATAAACATTGTCATGGTCCCCATCTGCCATTTGTGATGTTCCTTGGGGTGTCACCACCCATGTCCCCCTCCTCCCCGACCCCACAGCCCCCCCCGGGGACACCGCGGTGGTGGGTTCCAGCAGAGAGGTGGCCTCAGGAGAACTGGTGCAGGAAGGTGGTGTAGAATTGGGTGAGGGTCAGCAGGATCTGCTCCAGCGTCGCAGCCGGTGGCAACAGGGACAGCCTGGGGGGAGAGGGGACAATTTTTTGGAGGGGGGGGGGGATGGACAGGGAGATGGGGATGAGCTCATGGAAATGGAGATTGGGGATGGGGTGACATCTGTACAGGTGTGGGGACAAGGATGGGATGGGGCAGGGAGGACTCAGGACAACATGATGGAGTGTCTCCAACCCCCCAACTCTGACCCCCAACCTCCCCCCAGCCCCACTTACACGAGGTGGTGGGTGCCCTCCATCTGCCCAAACTCGCTCCCCGGGGCCACCACCATCCCCGTCGCCTCCTGTAGCTTCTGGCAGAAGAAGACATCGGGCTCCAGGCCCAGCTCCTGGGGACAAGGGATGGGACAATCACCCTGTGCCATGGGGGGGGACACTGTCCCCAAGGTGTCCCCAGGATGCCCCAGACCTCAGGGTTTGCCACCCTCCCATGGTGTCCCATGTCCTTGGAATGGCTCATGTCCCCAGAATGCCCTGTACTACCATGGTGTCCCATCTCCCATGGTGTCCCATGTCCCCAAGATGTCCCATGTCCCCAGGATGGCCTGTGCTCCCATGGAGTCCCATGGTGTCCCATGTCCCCAAGACGCCCCACACCACAGGGTTCCCCACCCTCCCAGACTGTCCCACATCCCCAGGATGGCTCCTGTCCCCAACATGCCCCATGCTCTGCCTTGACCCAAGTGCCCAAGATGTCCCATGTCCCCAGGATGGCCCATGCTCCCATGATGGCCCATGTCCCGTGGTGTCCCATGTCCCCAGGATGCCCCACACCACAGGGTTCCCCACCCTCCCAGACTGTCCCACGTCCCCAGGATGTCTCCTGTCCCCAGGATGCCCCATGCTCTGGTTTGTCCCAAGTCCCCAAGATGTCCCACGCCCTCACCATGCCCTGTGCTGCCATGGTGTCCCACCACCCATGCTGTCCCACGTCCCCACGTCCCCAGGATGTCTCCTGTCCCCATCCTGCCCCACTCCCCAGGTCCCCCCACCACCTCCCCGGCCCCCTGGGGCTCACCCGGGCCTGGCGCTGGGCGCGGGGCGGGAGCTGGATGCGGGGGAAGGCGCGGGCACCCCCCTGGAGTGGGGGGCAGTGGATGCCGGGGGCCCGGCCCAGCACCTCCTGCACCAACCGGGCGTTGTGGGCCAGGTCCTGGAGCAGCCCCTGCCTCTGCTGGGGGGAGAGGGGGCTGAGCTGGGGGGTGGGATGGGATGGGGATGATGGGGATGGGGATGATGGGGATGGGGATGG